TAGCATTGAAAGTGTGGACTGAGGCTGGGCCCAGTAGTGCATGCCTGAAATCCCAGAGGCTCAGGAGGCTGAGGCAGGAGGATCACAAGTTCAAGGCTAGCCTTAGCAACTTAGCAAGGCCCTAAGCAACTTAGTGAAACTCTGTCTCAAAATAAAATAAAATGGGCTGGGAATATGGCTCAATGGTAAAGAGTCCCTGGGTTCAATTATTGGTACTCACCCACCCCCCAAGAAAAGTGTGGACTGGACACCCCATGTTCCCAGAAACCCTTCAGTCCTGGGCTAACTGGGATGGTTAGTAAGGCAGAGAGAACAGCAAGTGCAAAGGCCCTGAGGTTGAGATATGCAAGGTGCATTTGAAGATACAGTACTGAGAAATGGTGGAGGTTTGCAAGAGCTGGAGGGGTGAACCAAGAGGGAGTTTATTTAGATTCCCATTCTGAGAGCTTCCCAGGGGGTGCTGGCTTGTGTTCATGAATGTTTACAGGCAGGAACAGGCCCTGGCTGGCTGGCTCAGCTGCCCAAGGCAGGCAAGAGGAAGGATGGAATTTGAATGTATCCAAGGTCATGCGTAGAGAACCCACCACACTCACACGTGCCAGGATGAGCGGAGGACCTCCAGGGAGCTAGCTGCTCAGGGGGAGTTGGCAGAAAGGGGTACATTTCAGGAAGGTCTCCCACTTCACATCTGACCACAGAGCTCTCTATAGAATTCAGAGAAACTGTCTCCCCTCCAGGGATAAAAGCACTGCCTTCCATTTTTGCAAAACTTACAGCCTTCTGAATCTGTCTCCCATTTTCCTGATTTGATGTGGATGGCGGGTTGTGTAACATACAGAGACCCAGAGGGAGGGAGGCAGAGACCCAGCAGAAGAGACACAAAGAGAAGAGAAATCCCGTCCAGTCAAGGAGCATCTCCTCAGGGCTGAGACCCGAGACCCTAGGGCCAAGCCCGAAAAGTGCCCCCAAGATCAACTAGGAACCCGGGGGAGACGGCCAGTGTGCCGGAGGTCAGCTTTCCTACGGCTCACCTTCAGCACACGGGGGGAGACCCAGAGACCTGGGGGCTGATTCTGCCTCCCGTTTCGCAGCTTGCTCTCCCCCACCTGAGGAAGACCCAAGGCAACGTCATCAACATCTCCAGTCTGGTCGGGGCCATTGGCCAGTCCCAGGCGGTTCCCTATGTGGCCACGAAGGTACCCCAGCCCTTGCCCCTTCCTTGCCCCCCACCCCACTTTCTGGGAGCCTCAGCTGTAAACCCAGGATCTTAGGAGCAGCAGCCAGGACCACCTGCCACCCAACTCCCCGATTCAGCTCTGAGACACGACAACCTGTGATCAATGGCTCTTGGCGCTTTTCTCTCAAGAAATGGCATTTTAAGAGGCCTATGAGGAGGGGAAGCTGTTCTGATGCCCCTGCTTGATGCCCCCGGCTAGAAGGAGTGGATAGAAGGGCCCCAACTTCTGGGACTGAACTTTCTCCCTGGCCTTTTCCTACAGGGGGCAGTAACGGCCATGACCAAAGCCTTGGCCCTGGATGAGAGCCAATATGGCGTCCGAGTCAACTGGTGAGCCCCAAGCAGTAGGCTGCGAGTCTCCTGGGGGAACTGGGAAGACTGGGAGTGAGCCAAGAGGCAGCAGTTGGGACACACTTCTCTGATCCCCTCTCTCCCTTCCCCCAGTATCTCCCCAGGAAACATCTGGACCCCATTGTGGGAACAGCTGGCAGCCTTAACACCAGACCCCAGGGCCACAATCCAGGAGGGCACCTTGGCCCAGGTAGGAGTTGAGGACCAGATCCAGGTGGAATGGAGGAAACTTGGGGGTGTGGCCATCAGGTGGGGGCTCCCCTTGACCTCCTTTCTCCTTCTCTCTCCCCAGCCCCTGGGCCGCATGGGCCAGCCAGCTGAGGTGGGGGCCGCAGCCCTATTCCTGGCTTCTGAAGCCAGCTTCTGCACAGGCATTGAGCTCCTTGTGACTGGGGGTGCAGAGCTGGGGTATGGGCGTAAGGCTGCTCCGGGCACCCCTGTGGACCTCCCCACTTGCCCTTCTTGATTGCCCACATTTTCACTCGAGCCTCCCTGCCCAGCATTTCCCACCCCAAACTCCAGCCTGTCCCATCTACCTCCCAGGTCCAGACCCCCCAGACTTTAACCCACATGGGAATGCACCGCATCACCCCTTACAGTCCCCCAAAGGCAATCTGCAGTCAGAAGGAGAACATGGTTATATGTACTTCCTGCCCTTTATACAAATGTGAGCACACCAGGGTTACTGAGCCCACAAGTTGCCTCCACCCTGAGGGATGACAGTTCCCTGAGGGCCTTGAAGCAGGTGCCCCAGTGGCTCACGAATGCCAGGTAGAGCAGTTCAGCTTCACCTGGGTGCTAATTAGAAGTCACCCCGGGGAGAGTAAATTAAACGCTAATTAGGATATAAAATGGAGAAGGAGAAGGCCTCTTTATTCTTGACCCTTGGGGAAAGTAGTTTGGACCTCCTGGCCTGTGGAGCAGGAAAGTGACTACCACGACAATTCCTGAGGGAAGAGGAAGCGGGGTTGAGACATCGGGGTCAGAGGGAGAAGGTGGTAGGGCCAGGACTCCCGAGTTTTGGCTGAGGGAGGTCTCTTGGGGCGCGGCGCCCAGTAGCAGCTGCGCCCCGCAGGTGCGGGGGTGGGGCTGCAAAGCTGCTGCGGATTGGCCGCCGCGGGGGTGTGCGGCAGTCGCTGATTGGCTGCGGGGGTCCGGGCGCGGCCTGTGGGCGCCAACCCTACAGCCCCCGCGCTGGATGGTGGGGGAGGAGGACTGGGGTGGAGAGAGGAAAAACAGCAACATCTGCAGGGGAGGGACCGTGATTTGGTTCCTCTGTCCAGTAGCTGTTTGAGGTGGGGGTTGGGGGGACTGGGGCTAGGGACAGAATTTGGTGCCATTGAGGGAGGGGGTACAACTTGGGGGAAAGTGTCCCAATATTATGGAGGTACATGGCTTAGGGACCGCGTTTTGAGGACACAGCAGAGATGAGATTTCAGTGTTAGGGTAACGCGGATGCAGGGATTTAGGAGACCACTGATCACGAAAAGTTTGGGGCACACAGTGATGGGGGAGCAGAGTCAAGAGGGTCACTGCCTCGGGTTTGAGTTGCTGGGGGGTCGGAGGGATCCTGAAGGACTGCGATTGGCTAACTCTGCCTCTGGAGGCCTGAGGCTGGGGGATGCTCCTGGAGGGGTGTAACCAGGACACCCTGCGCCAGGGGCTCCTCTTTGAGGCTCACTGATGAGTGAGATGTAGGCATGTGTGCAGTTTTTCGGGCTTCACTGATTAAAGGGACTGGAAGGAGGCATGGCGAACTCTGTGTGCTTTTAGTTCAGAGTTACAAAGAACACCCATATTTTCTCCTCGTTAAGAAAAAGCCATATTCAAACAGGAAAGTCTCCAGAGTGCAGAGGGAAGCTCCTTCTTCCTCCTCCTCTGTCCCACTCAGCAGAGCCCTTTTCCAAAAGCCACATTTCTTTATGCCTCCGCTGACATTTACAGTGAGCTTTTCTTTTTCACAAAGAGATCGCGTAACCGAGCTTTCTGCTCCTTGCTTTTGCCTTCTCTTACCTCGGGATGCTTGTCCTGGCCGGCTCTCCAGGAAAAACTCTATGAAAATACATTTTCAAAAATTACTGGGCATATGAAAACGGGGGGGGGGGAATGAGGAAGGAGTGCATTTCAGTTCCTGCCTCGTACAGCGCATGTACTCCGCAGCAGGGCCTGGCTCGCTAATTGGGGAGGCCTGGCCCCAATTGGGGTGGCCCGCGGGCAGGCATCCTGCGGGAGGGGGCGTAAGTGGGGCGGGGCCGGAACGACTTTCTCTGGGGCCGCGCCCCGGGCGGGCGCAGTTACACGCCGCACTGATCATGGCCGCGCTCGCGCTGGGGCAGGTGGGTTCGCAACGCCAGCTGGGGGTCTGGGGAACCCGGGGGTGGGGCGCACTTCCGGGAGGATCATGGGCGCGCAAGCTTTCTCGCTCAGCCCCGCTTCTCTGGCCCTGAGATTCCGTGGCGGGGTGCGTAAGAAATGGGGTCCTTTGGACAGGACCCCTAGGGTTTAAAGGGCTGGGGGTCGGGGGCAGGTAATTGTGGGGAGGGGACATGGGGGGTTGCCGGGAACGTGGAGGAGGGGCCCGCCCTGGGGAGGACCGGGACCAGGGTGGGGCGGAACCGTTGCGATTGGAATAACGTCTTGGGGAGTCGGGAGGGAGCTGCCCGCGGGGGGCGCGGCGGGGATGGGGGCCCTGGACCTTAAGGAGATGGGACGGGAGGAAGGCACTGAGCTCAGCCTCAGGTCTCGGCTGGGAATCGGAGCCGAGGTCCTGTTTCTCGGAAGGAAAGGTCGGTAAGACAGATGGGGAAGGTTCATATGAAGTCTGCACCTGGTTAGAGATGGAGGCAGCTTCTCCCTGTCAAAGTGACAGGTCCTCCGGGCAAGAACAGGACGGTCGGTTCTTACCGATGATAAGAGGTCAAACGGCCAAGTTTCCGAGAGCCTATGATTATAGAGAACAGAATTTCTTAGGAAGGAAACCACTGGGTCGATACAGCCCTTGACAGCTGCAGCATAACCTTGGGAGAAATGTTTACTCTTAACTTTGCACCTGACTTTATCTAAGTTTCTTATCCCGGGATGATGAATAGCAGGGCAGATTTTTTTACTTTTCCCAGGTCTTAGTGACAGGGATAGTTAGTGTTGGGCAGATACTGTGGGACAGGCCTGGGATATGACAGGGGCACCCTGGGCACTGATGGGGACACAGCTGAGCTATGGTGGGACAGTGCTGAGGTCTGATGGGTGTAGTTTGGGGCCATGATGTGGAGAGTCCTATCATGGCACAGTACTGCCATAGTAGGTGAGTCCTAAACTCTAATGGGACATTCCTGCGCTCTAATGAAGACGGTTTGTCCTGTAATGGAGACAGTCTGGGGCTGAACCTGAGCTGTAATGGAGACAGTCTGGGGCTGAACCTGAGCTGTAATGGAGACAGTCTGGGGCTGAACCTGTGATGGGCACAGTCAGGGACTCCCTGGGAGGTCCTGGAGTGTGAAGTGCACAGTGACCTGCAGGGACTGGCCTAGACTGACATGGGAATAATTCTTGGATCTGAAAGATACAGCGACTGGGTCTTGACAGGGACAATCCTGGAATACAGAGGAAGAAGATTTTGGCTTTGGAGGGCAGGTATTCCTGAGCTGTGTTGAGACACTGCTTGGTTCTGGAGGGGGAAGTCCTGGGAAGTGACTGGAGCCATCTGGGGTTCCGATGTAGAGTCTTGGATGGTCTATAGGACAGCCCTGGGTTGGGATGCAGAGTGGGTCCTGGGCTACAAAGGCAAGTTCTTGATGTGATGGGGTCAGTCCTGAGCTGTGACAAGGACAGTTTGGGGCTATGAGAGGAAAACTCCTGGTGTTTAATGATAAAACTCTTGGGCTCTGTCAAAGACAGATGTCCTGTGCTATAGGGGACACGGTGGAGGCTCAGTCATATTACAGAGCCTTTCTTGTGCACCTACCCCTCTTCTTCATTTCGTTTTGGTACTGTGGGTTGAATCCAGGGGCAGTTAACCACTGAGCCATATCTCAGGGTTCCCCCCCCCCACCCCGTTTTAAAATTTTGAGTTGGGGTCTCACTAAGTTGCTTAGGGCCTTGCTAAATTGCTGAGGCTGTCTTTTAACTTGGGATCCTCCTGCCTTAGCCTCCTGAGCCACTGGGATTACAGGAGTGCCCCGCCACCCCTGGCCCCCTTCTTTCTTAACTCAGCCTCCATCCTTTACACTCCTGGTGTTTAATGCTGAAACTCTTGGGCTCTGTCAGAGAAGTCCATTTGCGCATTTCCTCTAGGCTCCACTCCATAGCTGGGGTCTGGGATGGCAGGGCGCCCTCCTCACCTTAGAGAAATGCCCAGGAGGAGGAAGGTAGCTTTACTCACTGTCACAGGTTTCTGACACCATGCCCCGAGCCTTCTCTGCCCTGTGGGGGTGTGCTCTGTTTTTCTGCTTCTCCTGCCTCCAAACATCTCTGAGACAGTGTCTCTCCCTCTCCCTCGGCTCTTCTGCCACCCAAGGCTCCGAGGTCTCACTTTTGTCTGTTCCTCTCCTTTCCCTCACCTTGCTTCTTGGCTTCTCTGTATTCTGCTCTCAGTCACTTCCCTGGTTTCCTCCAGGCTTTGTTACTTTGCCTGAGTTCCGCTCTCCCTCTCCCTCTCCCTCTGTCTCTCTGTCTCTCATCTTGGTTTTTCTGTGATAGACACATTTTGGCAACTCGGCCTGGATGCCTGTTCTTTTCAGTTTGTTCTCCATTTCTGTTTCTTTTTCTCATTCTTCCACTTTCCTCTCTAAATCTCTTTTATTCATGTGTCCTGGCTTCCTCTGCTGTCTTGTCCTTGTACTGGCTGTCCTGTACTGTGTGTTTGCTCTCTCCATACTGTGGCTGTCCTGTCCTTTCCTGTGCAGAGCCTTGGCCACAGGGCCAGGCAGGCTCCATGTTACACACAGAGGCCACGTGGGGGAGGGGAGGCACACACTGCAGTCAGCGATCATTCCAGAGGCCCTTGGGCCTACACCAGCAAGGCCGCATCTCAGGCTTCACTGCCCAGAGTCTGTGACACTGCATCCCATAACCCTGTCTCCCCATAACTCACCTGCTGGCCAGTGATCCCTGCCATTCATATCCATTCTTGCCAGTTGGTGACAGCTCTCCTGGCTCATAGGGAGAGTGCAGGCTGCTCTGTGTCCTCAATCCTACAGCCCAGCTGTCTTCCTGCAGGGTTGGGGAAAGAAGCACTGTGAGTGGGAGATCCCCAGGGTGGGCCACCCTGCTAGTCCAACAGACCACTGTGCCCTGCTCTCCTCGGCGAGGGCAAGGTCCGTGAGGGAAGTGTGCACCTGAGCATGGTCTGTTGATGATTTGGGTGGCCCCCAGGGTCCTGGTGCTGGCCCTCAGCCTCTGAGATCTGAAGGGCATTGGAGTCACTGCTGAGGTGGCATCCATGGTGTGGAGTCAGGCGCTTCAGGTGATCTCGATCTAATACCCAGAAGTAATAAGCATTGAGACTCCTGGTTCTGAGGGCAAGGGCTGGGGGCCTGGATTCCTGAGTTCTCAGGGAACAGGGCCTATAGGTCCCTTGCTCCCCTGACTCCTCTTGTGACTTGGGTCCCTTGGGAGGCCTCTGCTTACCTGCACACCTTCCGTCGTCCTCGTCCTCGCCTTGTCTGAGCTGGTCCTAGGCTGAGGTCAAAGTTTCCTGGGGTGGGAGGCGCCTGCTTTTGACTTTGCCCAGGGTGGAGGAGGGGGCCTGGAGCCCATTCAGCTCCCTCTAGGGATGGCCCTAGTAGGACTCGCTGGGAGCACTTGGCTAGAGCCAAATGCCCTGCTTGAATGCACGGGGACTGTGACAGGGACGCCAGAGGGTACTCCTAGGTGCAGGAAGTGACAAATGAAATACTGGGACCCTTGCTTTCTCCCACTGCTGGCACGTCACCTTCCTCACTTCTCTTTCTGTCCCAGATCTGGTCCCGGAAACTTCTCCCTGTCCCTTGGCTCCTGTGGGGTCTCAGAGGATGTGCCTCCACCAACTTCAAGGTGAAAGGAGGGACCAGAACACCAGGGTCTGAGGGAGGAGGCTGGGGCCTGGACTCTTGAGCCTCAGAGAGGGGGACAGGGGCTTGGACCCCTAAGTCTGAGGGAGGAGGGGATTGGCAGCTGGATCTGGGCATCTCCAAAGTTCTGCAGCCTGGAGGTGCAGGTGGGTAGCAGTGGTGTAGCACAACAGCCTGGGGAAAGATGAAACTGCATTTCCCAAGAGTCCACTGGGGCAGGCGCTCATGAAGAGAATTATAGCTTTTCAGCTGGACACCTGTGACCAGATTCCTGGACACCTGGGTGTCCCATCTTTTCTCAGGCTGCAGACTTGCAGCTGCAAATAACGAAGGAGCCACGAAAGAAGCCCAGCCCCAGCGACTCCCTGGTGTTTGGGAAGACGTTCACCGACCACATGCTGATGGTGGAATGGAACAGGAAGAAGGGCTGGGGCCAGCCCAGGATCCAGCCCTTCCAGAATCTCACTCTGCACCCAGCCTGCTCGGCCCTCCACTACTCCCTGCAGGTGGCGTGGCCGCTGACCTCTGTCCCTGGTCCCGTGTGCATCCACTCCTTGCTGTGCCCCTTGCCAGCTCCACCTCCCTGGGTTTGCTTTCCACAGGCTTTTTTCCACTCACTCCTCACCAGCTTTCCGGGGCCTCCTGCACTTCACACTGGGGTCATGGTTCCCTCACTCGAAACTGCACCCTGGTTACAACCTGGTGTTACCTAGGCTGCGATGAGGCAGCGGGGGAGGCCAGGGTCTCTCTAGCCTAGCTTGAAGGAAAGTGGGGCCTTTCCTGGCAAAACCTAGGAGGCTTAGGGTGTCAGTGGGGAAGGGGCCAGTCAGTGGGAAGGGGCCAGTCAATGCAAGGCCCAGACAGGAAGGGCCTGGCATAATAGGGAGGAATTATGGGATTGGAGTGTGTCAGAGGACACTAGGGGTGTTATCAAGGCCACCGGAGGAACTGAGGCACTGGACCTTGTCCAGGGGTTCTGGGAGCCATGGAGCAGTGGAGGTGCAGGCCCAACCTGGGTATAGTAGGACCTTCTTCTTGCTGTGTAGACGGGAGTTGAGACTGGAGGCCAGGAGGTCAAGGCTGGGCGATGATTCAGGTAGGAGAGGATAAGTAGGCGTGGAGATCTGAACTGGGGCAGAGCTGTGGGAATTCTCCTATAGCAGCCCTAAGGAGCTTTCCGTTTTTTGCAGCAGCAGCATAGTATTCCATCCTAACAATGTTCTGCATTAGGCAGTCCCCTATTTTGGGGCACTTGGGTTGTTTCCAGCCTTGTCCTCTTATAAACACAGTTGTAATAAACAACGGAGTGCACCTGTCACTTCCTCTAAGTGCAGGTGTATCTCTCCACTCAATTTCTACAACTATTGGGTGAAAGTGCAGATACAGTCATAATTTTGAAAAGTATTGCCACATTGTCTGCTTACCGAATTTGTATCAGTTTCTACACTCACCAGCCAAGCCTGTTTCCCCAAACCTTAGACAAACCTTGTCCAACTTTTA